TAACATGGGGTGAGCTTGGGCCCAGTACTGTGTGTGTGTGTGTGTGTGTGTGTGTGTGTGTGTGTGTGTGTGTTTCTCTCCATTCCTTGGGGCAGCAGCAGGTCTGGAAGGAGCTTGTGAGTCCGGGGCAGGTGAGGGCCGCACAGTGGCCAGTGGCTTCTGGTTTGTGAGTGTGGTTGTGTATTTTGGAGTCCACGGTGTGAAAGGTCTGTCCTAGCCTGTTGCTGGGCTGTGTGAGGGGAAGCCCCTCCACCCAGGGCGGGGTGGGGTGGGGTGGGGCCGGGCCCACCGCCTTCCCCTGGGCCCTCAGTAGAGGCGGAGGCCCTGTAGCTCACCAAGCTCCCTCCCCGTTTTATTTATTTTATTTTATTTTATTTTATTTTTTTAAGGAGGCTCCACACCCAACCTGGGTGAGGCTTGAACTCACGACCCAGAGATAAAGAGTCGTAAGCTCTACCAACTGAGCCAGCCAGGTGCCTCTCCTTCCACATTTGAATGCACTAGGTGCAGTCACCAAGCATGTGCCTTTTCTTAGAATAGAGTTTAGTCCCTGGCAACAGAGGAGAGCAAGGGACTCTGTCTGCCCTTGAAAGTCAATTTTAATGAACTTCCTGCCCAGGGCCTGTCCTTTCTTTAAAGCCCCTCCACTCTTTTGTGGTACTTGCTGAGGGGCTGGAATCAGGCAGGCAGGCCTCCTCTTCCAGAAGGCAAGGTTAGCTCCAGTACCCCCATATCATCCACCTGGCTCTTTGTTTACCCACTTGCCCTGCTGGTCAGAGCGTGGGAGCCCAAGGATGTATGCGAACGCCTGGCACAGTGCTGGGCACCCAGCAGGCTTGCCGTCACTCCTGGGGGGCCTGCAGCCCCTCTCTGGGGCTAGTGCTGAGGCTGTGTTCCCTGCATGCCTCTCCTCACTGTTCTGGCCACGCTGGCCTCTGCTTTCCTGGAACTTCTCCCCACCTTTGTCCCTTGTGCTGCCATTTTACCTCAACAACTGCCTCCTACACTGAAGTGTGGGCTCCAGAGGCCGTGAGCGGGTCGGTCTTGCCCACAGGGACGGGCCTGAGCCACGTGCCCGAGGACGGGCTGCTGAGTGGGTGGGGTGGACAGGGGTGTATGGTGGGGAGACACTCCAAGGGCGTAGACCCTGGGTGAGGTGCTTTACACAGACTTGCGAAATAACCCCGTTTTACACCAAGGAAACAGTCTGAAGGAGAGTCAAGCTACCCCCCCGGAAGTTGCTCTGTGTTGCTCAGAGTCTCCTCTGGCAAGAGGGGTGCCCCTGGGAAGGGTGGGGTGTGGACTGCTGGTCCTGGGCCGGGGCGCGAGGCCCTGGGTCACCACCGGCTCTTTGGCAGGTTTGGGGCAACTGTAGCCATCGGCTTGACCATCTTCGTGCTCTCTGTTGTCACCGTCATTATCTGCTTCACCTGTTCCTGCTGCTATCTCTACAAGATGTGTCGCCGGCCACCACGTCGTAAGCATGCCCGCCCCCTCCCTGCCCCCCGTGACCCTGGGTGTGTAGGTGCAGAGCCCAGGTGCTGGGGGTGGAGGGTGGGGCTGACCAGGGCCCTGACTCGGCTAAGCTGGAGTGAGGGGTGGCTGTGGTCCTGACTGGGATTCTCTTTGCAGCGGTGGTCACCACCACCACGGCCACCACGGTGGTGCACACCCCTTACCCTCAGCCTCCAAGTGTGCCACCCAGCTACCCCGGACCGACATACCAGGGCTACCACCCCATGCCCCCACAGCCAGGGATGCCAGTAGCACCCTACCCGACACAGTACCCCCCACCTTACCCTGCCCAGCCGATGGGCCCCCCGGCCTACCACGAGACGTTGGCTGGTGAGTATCGCTGCCAATGCTAACCCTGCCTAACCCCCCCCAACAAATCGCCTGCCACTGTCCCCTCACACTGCAGCCCTCCGTGTTCACAACCAACCAGTGTCCTCTCTTGTTTTCAGGAGGTGCAGCCATGCCCTATCCTGCCAGCCAGCCTCCTTACAACCCGGCCTACATGGACCCCCCGAAGGCAGCCCCCTGAGCCTGTCCTGCTTCTCTGGCTGCCACTTGGGGTGTGTGTGTGTGTGTGTGTGTGTGTGTGTGTGTGTGTGTGAGAGAGAGAGAGAGAGAGAGAGAGAGAGAGAGAGAGATGGGTATGTAGGCACGGTCTTTTTCTCCCCGTGCGTGGTGTTTGTGTCCGGTTTGTACACGAGGCCTCTTGTGATGCCAACGTGCTGGGGAGCAGTCATTGCTAGAGTTGCTGGGACCCTTCTTCGTTCTCTTCCTCACTTGAAATTGTGCTCTTTTGAAATCTCAAAATTCAAAGACTGGGGTGGGAGTTCTTTCCCATACTGCCCCAGGGAGACCAGGCCGGTGGGGGCTTGTCATGCTAGGACAGTGGGGCTTTTTGGAGGCAATGTGCCCATGTGTTCTGGTTTTGGCAGAGTGGCTAGCCACTGCTCAAGGCCACGGCCTGTCCCCAAGGTGTGGGGTACTCTTCAAGGAACCAGAGCCATCATGGCATGGGGGTGAGGCTCGGGGCCTGGCTAAGTTGGGTTTTAATCCTTTAGCAGACGTCCCATAGTCCCCAGAGCCTGTGCCATGCCCAGCAGAGGGCGGTCAGCCTCCCGAGACCAAAACACTTGAGGCAGAGGCCCACCCACCCGAGCACGGTCTGCCTGGACTGTCCCCGCATCCTCCCTGGCACCACCTGGAGGGCCACGTCCACCCACGGCTCTGGCTGCCCTGGCTGGCCACGACCCCCACCACAGGTAGGCAGGGTGGCCTCTGTCCACCTGCACACTCAGGTGTCCTCCCTGCAGTGTTTTTGTTTTCCTTTCCTTTTAGGCAAAAACAGTTTGTTTCCTGTTTTAAAATGTATGTGATCATTTTTGTGAGGCTGAATCCCTTGGGTCCTGGAGGGAAACTGGCCCACTGTGGAGAGGGACCGTCAGACCTCTGATAGGCCCTACTTCTCCCCACACCAGCTTCATAGAATAGCCAGCTCCTATACCCCAGTCCACAGGATGTCCTGGCACCCAGGACACCTGGGCCAAGGGGCCGTCTGGACCAAAGGTGGAAGGGGGCCCTCGGTGGCGGCTCTGGCCCAGACCGAGGTATTCACCTCGGTGTTCCTTGTTCCTCTTGTTAATATCTCACCAGATCTGTCTTAGCTTTGTACCTGTTGATGTGTTTCTGAGTGTCTAGGGTCTGCACTTTTGTTTATAATAAATGCAAACATTTGGGGCTGCCGCCTTCTTTCTTCAGAGCCTTGGGTGCTGGGACTGGGCATTAGGCCATGACCATCTTCATCCATCTCTTGGATTTCCATGTTTCCCCCGTCTTTGCTGGGCTCAGGTGTCTGGCCATCCTGCTAGGGGGGGTGGAGGACAAAGACTGTGCCACCCTCTGTGTCCCCCTCCCCAGGTCCCCGAGTGTGGGCAGAGGTGCAGGAGGCTCCTCTAAGGCTGCCAAGGAGGGTAGAGGTGAGTGGCCACTCAGTGCTGGGGGGGGGTCTTTATTAGTCAGACTTTCCTTCTTGGCCTACTGTCCAGGTGTGGCCAGGGAGAGCCCATACAGTGTGGCTAGTGCCAAGGTCAGGAAGGCCAGAAGACCCAGTGGGGCTAGCAGTCCTGCCTTGGGTGAGGCTCCAGGGCCCTCCATTGGAGGAACAGCCTTGGGCTTCCTGCCCCTGCCCAGGTTGGGACTAGTGTCCCTGGCTCTAGCCAGGGCTTTAGTGGCTGTGGTGGCAGATGGTCTTGGGTTGGTTCCAGCAGAGGCTGTGACCCCGTACATGGGCTTGACAGTGCTGAAAGGCCTGGCATGAGCATCCACCCACTGGAGCAGGGCCCGCGGCCTCCACTGACAGATGCTGAGCAGGGTGAGGACATCACTCTCGGCCATGTGGGAGTCCGGTGGGGCCTGCCCGTACAGGCGTGTGTAGATGCTGCCCAGGCTGTAGCTTTTCCGTGGGCCATGCTCCGAGGGGCTGCCAGCGTGCTCCAGGGCCTTCAGGGCGGCAATGCTATCCACACAGAAGGCACCGTCTAGAACACTGGCAAGGCCTAGGACAGCCAGCTCCGCCTGGAGCAAGGGGAAGTCGTAGCGGTCACCATTGTGTGCCACGAGGCACCAGGGCTGTGGCTGGCGCTGCAGGAAGGCTCGGAGCAGGCTGGCCAGGTTGGCATCGAAGCGCTGACGCCCATGAGCTGCCAGTACAGCTGTGCTCAGGCCTGTGATCTTACTGGCTTCTGGGCTGCAGGCCTTCCCTGGAGCCACGCACAGAGAGAGCTTGTCTGCCACCCGGGGCGGCGGGGGCACTGTGGGAGGCTGCCCCTGAACATTGGGGGAGCTCTCCAGGGCACATCTGTGGACAGCCAGCAGGCACAGCTCCGTGACCTTGGGCTGGGAGGAAGGCAGGCCAGTGGCCTCCAGGTCCAAGAAGATGAGGGTCTGCACGGGCCCCGGGGCTAGGGCCTGCGAGCCCATGCTGGGTACCTGCTGCCGAGCCTGGGGAGAAGCAGGGGTGGGGAGTGGGTGTATGAGTGCCCCAGTGGGAAGAGCTGAGGCCGGCACTGTCAGTGAGCTCCAGGACCCGATTCCAGGGCAGGAAGCCAGAGAGGGTGGCATGGCTTCCTTAGGGGGAAGCACCCTCAACTGTCTGTTTTGGGGGAAACCTTGGCTCCTCCCCTAGCGCCCACCTAGCCTGGGACTGGGTTGGGGGGGGTGAGGCCTTCCCACCCTGTCCCATCCCCGTGGGGGTCCTCACTTACCGAGTAGCAGGCAGCAGCGATTCAGGGTGCAGTCTGGCTGGTTCTTGCTGCCGGCAGCAGTGGCGGGAAGTGAAACTGAGTGTGAGCCTGCCTGTGGGCTGTCCTGAGCGAGGCCCGCCCTGCTCATCAGCGGGCCGGGTCTGTCCCTCCCACAGCACTGCTCCCTCCTGACTCCCCAGAGGCCTCCAACCTATAGCCATGGGCCTGCTGGCTGGCACAGCGCATCAGAGCGCTCACACCATGAGAGCCAGCCAGCAGGACAAGGGCCGTGGTGCCCAGCCCTTCGGGGAAGGCCAACAGCAGGACTCCAGCCTGCCAGGAAGCCCGGCTGCAGCCAGCAGCCACCGTGCACCCTCTCCTGGGCCCCACTTTCTCAGGTCTCCCTGCTGTAGGCCCCGGCTGCCGCCTGCCTCCTGCTTTGCCACACAGTGGTTTCTTCCCATGGCCTCAGCCCAAAGCGATGACTCAGGACAATTCCACAGGCAGGGCAGGGCAGGGCTGGGCTCCTTCCTCAGGGCAGATTTGTTACCATGGGGACAGGGTCTCAACTCTGGCTAGGGATGGGAAGGCTCCCAGGCTTCCTAGGGTCTGGCTCCTGCTCCGTCCCCCCCCTACTCAGCCCGACACATATCAGACTCAGGAAACACCACAAGGCTGGCGTGTTCTCAAACAGCCCTTCGCTGCTTTTAATCAGTTGATGGGGAAGGTAGTGGTTCTGGTGCCACCGTGTGGCTCGATGCTCCCTGGCCTCAGCTGCAGTCCATCTCAGGGTCATCCACATCGGTTTCAGTGGCACAGAGGTCATCCAGGGCTGCCTCTGAGCGAAGAGAAGAGGGTTCTACGGTGAAGGCCTGGAGGTGCTGGGCACAAGGGTGGAGGGAAGGCCCACCGCTCCTCCCCCACGCCCGTAGGAACTAACCAGTCCCTTCCACGCCCAGGCCTTGCTCCCTCAGCTACTGCAAGCAAAGTGACACAAAGGCAGTTCAGACAGGGATGTTTCTGGAACAACCGTGGCTCTGCCAGGCCAACTCAACAGATACAAGCAAAAGGCAGCCTGCTACGCTCAGAGAAGAGCCAGAGCAGTAAGGCAAGTAGGACCCCAGTGCCGGCAAAGGCTGCGTGGAGGGAAGACTACTGACTTAAGGCCAGGAAGTCTGACCTGTCCGTGAACTTCAGGGAAACCCTGCGTGTGGGTTGGACAGGGAGGAGTCCTCCTGCTGGCTCACCTTCACAGTCTGCCACGTCAGGAAGCCCTCGAATCAGCATGCTGACCCCTGGCATCACCTGGTCATACTGATGCAGGACCTCCACGCAGTGCACAGTGAAGAGCTTGTCCTTCTGGGACAGGCCGTGCAGCAGCAGCACCGTGTCCCGCAGACAACGCACCGTCCGCTTCTGCCGGTCCGTCCTTGGGGGCCCCCCGGCCCTCCGCACTGTCAGCCACTGTCTGTGCAGCATCACCGTGAGTGCTCTGACCCCCTGCAGGAGGGCCAACACTGAGGCCGGGTCTCAGGGCTCCTGTACCCTCCCAACCTGCTCTGCTGGACAGTACCCTTCCCAGCCACCACAGGTGAGGAGGGCTCGGGGGGAGGGGGCACGAGGGTTAGAAGGAGCGGGGGGGTCCCTGCATAGGGTCACCTCAGCCCCCAACAAAGCCGCCACGCCGCTGGCCCCCGTGCGCTCACCTCCACGTTGCACTGGCAGTTAGAGCCCGTGACTGGGGAGCAGGGGCTCTGCACACCCAGCTTAGCCAGGAGCCACACGGCCTAGAACAAGAACAGACTGGTCCATCTGTGGCAGAATGAGACCCTGATCACAGTGAGGGCTTGCTAAAGCTTCTCCTACAAGTGCTCCGGTTGCCTTAGCAACCGCCTGTCTATACAATGGGGTCCAAGGAATGGTCTTGGGGCCTTCCCAGGCTAGACTCAGGGCCAACCCCTGTGTCTCACCAGCGACCCACCTGCCTCCAGGCCCCAAAGCCAGGGTGGGACCAGTTACCAGGCCACTCTGCCAAGTTCCAGGACACCCTGGGGTCCACCTGTATTGCTACTGTGTAGTGTGGAGCCTCCGGACTGAGATCCCCTCGTTAGCTAGGTAAACTCTTGTTACCAAAGTGAATGAAAGCTCCGTTCTCCCCAGGAGGAGGAACAGTGGCCCTGAGGTGGGGTGGGGTGGTGAGCAGTTCACAGAAGGGTCTCTGGAGTTTTACCTCTTGTTCTAGCTGAAGCCACTGTGTGTCCGAGGCCACTTTGTCAGGCCTTGATGTGATGTACGTGTACAGCAGCAGGAGGAGACAGCCTTCTGAAAAGGATGCCCCACCTCTCACTCAGGGTTCTCCTTCTTACCCAGAGCCCAGGGCACAAGCTGCAGAAGCCCTCAGGAGGCCTCTGACCTGTCCCTGCCACCACCCTTGCTTCCAGCCTGCAGTGGCAGCCCAGCCACCCACTCCCTTCCGTGCTTTACCTGAGCGGGAGCAGAGCTGAGGCACCAGTTTCTCATGGTCCGCCAGGAGGGAGAGGAGCTTGACAGTCAGCAGGACGCTGGGCAGGGGACTCTCGGGGCTCAGGCACTGTGGCAGCACCCGGAACACACACTGGAACCTACAGTACAAGGGCCCAGAGAGACAGGATGCTGGTAACCCAATCCAACTCACCTCGCTTTTCACCAGAGGGAACAGGCCGTTTTGAACAGGCAGTACAAGGAGGAGCTGTGGTTCAGACCTAGGTTCAAATGCTGGCCGACCACCACCTGCTTGCCAGGACATCTGCTTCCTGTGAACAAGTGGGTACAAGCCTCCACCGCAATGTTGCTGTGGCTTAGAGAGGACAGGCCCTTACCAGGCACAGCGCCACCTGTAAATGGGGGCTGCCTCCCTGGACCTGGGGTGCCTGGCTTCCACACTGCTCCCAAATAGGGAGGCAGATCTTAACTTGGGTGTGAGAATGTTATGAGCCCACTACCCAAGGACTGGCCAGGCTCCAGAAGTGACAAATGCAGACTTGGCTAGGGTTGGATTTTATACCACTTGCTGAGCAGACCATTTTTGAAAACACCAGATAGGAGCAGGTGCCCCCTTGGAGCGTGCATGGGTGAGGGGCTCTGGGCACACTCTCCCCCAGGCCTCACAGGCACAGGGAACTAAAGAACTAAGTCCCAAGACAACTGCCATTCGCTCAATCCACACAACCTTGTGGGTAGGGAGAGGGGTACTTTTACATGTCCCCCTTCATGCATCTGCAGCATCTCAGCACACACCATTGAGGGTTAAGAATATTCCTCAGTATGCCATTAGGAAGCAAGTTCTCACTGTTTGGGGTGAAATTATTTTTGAGCAGATCCTGTACGGTGGATAAGCGGCATGTTTTCAGTTGCCAGGGAGGGTAGAACTTTATGGGAAACTGGGATTTAACCTGGTTGTTACTCAATTTCATCATTAGGTTAGAAGTGGTCTCTAGTGTTCGTGTAAAGTCCCTGAAACTATCTGCAAGAAAAATCCATCTTTATATATGACACAGTGGTTTCCAAATTACTTTTGGATAGCATCAGCCTTCTTTTAAAAATTTTTTTCAGAGCCCCAAGCATACAAGAGAAAATAGTCCTGCTGTTCTGTTTGAAGCAGGGGATGAGACCTCTTTGCTCAAAAGTCACGACCATCTCAGTACCCGGGAATGGCCCAGTAACCAGGGATGACCTACAGCTATGGGTATGGTAGGAAGACATGTGTCCGAGGGGAGACCTTGCCCTCAGGCCTTGGTGGGCAAAGGTGCCCTTTATGAGACCGCTGTCTGCATGGCTGCTTGTGTTCCACTACACAGTCAGGGCCCTGGTGGCACGTGTCCTTCGCTTTCACTCTAAGGTGAACAGGAAGCTGTGTGGTAGTGGGGTTCAGCCTGCAAGGAGGTAGGAATTCTGAAGAGAAGCACCAAGTGGGAGGTGGTGTCGGACCACGATTAAGGGCAAGTCAAGGAGACTGGCCTGAAACTGGCCCAGCATCCTGTCTCCATTCGTATTCATACAGCAAATACTGAGTGCTTCCAGCGAGCCAGGCTCCATGCTGGGTGTGAGGATGCAGGGCTCTGAGGGTGTCACATGAGCTAGTGAACAGAAGGCATCTGTCTGGCCTATAGTAAGCATCCCCTAAACAGCTGTTTTATCATGTCCTTGCAGACAAGCTCAACAGGAATGGAATGATGGTGTATCTACCAAGAGGACTGGTAAAAAGTGGTTCCTGGAATTCATTCAACACCGATGAAACAAGCAGCCAGCCACTATGAGCTAGGTCTGTGCTAGACACATGGGTGATGGTTCTGAACCTATCATGCTGCCCACACTACACTACAGTATGGTGAGTACTGTGTCCCACTCTGAGGACTACCGTTAGGATGGACCAGACCAGCTAGACTATCCTCAAATGGAAACCAGGATCCAGAAGTGTTTTTAGGAAACAAGTATGCTAAGCTCAGAGACTAAAAGCTTAAGGTAAGTGCAGCCAGTGGAGTTACTCCAAATAGGAACTGGCTTCTTGGTGGTGTGCTGAGGGGGAGACAGGATTATTGGATGAGGGGATGGGCTGGATGGTGTTTACAGTTCCTCCCAGTCTTGAGGCTCGGGATCCCAAGTTAGGAATTTATGACTACAGTGTTCACAAGCTAGGTTCACTATACAACCACTTCCCACAAACATTAAGAGGACCAGGTAACCTAGGGCTCATGCCAGAGAGCATGATGATGATGGGCAAGGTCAGATGATGATTCCCAGCAAGGTCAGCTTATGGACTGCAGACCTACCCTACACCCTCTGCTTCCCTAGGGAACGCCACCAAACTTAAATGTGGTGTGACTCATGGTCTTCACCTGATCCATGGCCCAGGTTCAAGGCTCTTGGTTCAGCCTTTGTCTGTCCTGGGGATAAGGATGCTTTTCCATAGCGGCTTACAAGCCTTCTTTCAACACGTGTCTTGAAAACACCAGATAGGAGCAGGTGCCCCCTTGGAGCGTGCGTGGGTGAGGGGCTCTGGGCACACTCTCCCCCAGGTCTCACAGGCACAGGGAACTAAAGAACTAAGTCCCAAGACAACTGCCATTTGCTCAATCCACACAACCTTGTGGGTAGGGAGAGGGGTACTTTTACATGTCCCCCTCTCCCTACGTGTCTTTTGCTTACCTGCTGTACAGAGCAGAATTAAACCAAATAAATCACTTTCTTGGTTCTCCTAACACCTGGCCCCACTTTCCATCACTTCAGAACTCCCTGAACGAAGCCTCAGAACATAAAACCAAGGCTTAGCACTGAGAAGCACAGATAAGTAAAGAAGCGGACAAAGTATAAGGGCCACAGGATAGACCTCAAGAGGTCAGGTAAGACCTGCAAAGAATCATGACTTCCATGCTGTGTTATTATACCTGGGCAGGAAATCAAAGGAAGCATTTTCAGCTAATTTCACCAAAATCTTAAGACACTGGCTCAGGACACTGGCTTGAAGGTGACCTGTTGCTGAAGAAGAGAAAGTCAACAGGTGAAGAAGCATCTTCAGTAGCGGATGCTGGCCTTGGTCACTGGCAAGCCCCCTTGGGGCTGAGGACACATCCCCATGATCTTGTCTGTGAACCAGGCTCTGGTTTCCTTCCCTAGCAGCAGAATCCGCTCCTGCATCTGACAGTAACAGGTGGACGACTGCTCCGCTGTGGCACACCAAGTGCTGAAGAACACTAAGGGATGCTACAGAGAAGCTTTCCAGGCTGCAAAGTGAGTCCTCCAGGCTGGCCTCTCCCCCAGAGCTCACACAAGAGGAACTTGTCGGTGAGTCCCCAGGTGCTCCACTTCTCTTGGCTGCTGCCAAATCTTGCAGAGCCTGGCAGTGTAAGCTGATAAAGAACTGTACCAGGGGGAGGAGATGCACAGCTCCAGGAAGCTGGCAGAGTGGGAAGGCCCTTCTGCCTCCCTCTGCTGTGTCTCCATCACACGAGCCTTCATCCCGGGCAACCAGATTCAGTCCAGTGAGTGCCAGGTTCTGTGCCTCTCTCAGAGCCGAGAGGGGAAATGACCCATCGCAAGAACCTGTGGTCCTCAGGCTTGAAATCCCAGTCAGGGTACTAGCAGCAAATACAAAAGAAAACACACAATTGTGAGATGGAGATAATGTCAAGGGCCCCAATCAACCTGCTGGCCAAATTCTCTAGTTTCCCAAACTGCACCCCACCCCCAGCCCCGGCACATAGACCTCCCAGGCTGGTCAGGACCAGAAAGGGACTTGCTTCCTGGGAACTCCTTCCTAAACGAGCTTTTTAGGAGTCTGAGGCTTACCTGCCAAACCCCGGTGGCTGCAGCAGGGTGCTGGTAGGAGCCTCCGAACAACTGCTCAGGAGGTGGCACAGACCAAGGGATGACCCTGGGATCAAAGGCTGCTTCAGGAGAAGGTTTATCAAAATGGAACCTGCAGAAGACAACGTGATTCTAGAAGGTTCTGAGAAGGGAGGCCTTTTCTAAGGCTTCAGCAGGAAAAGTGAGGGTTCCTTGGATGCTAACTCTCCTCTAAGCTGCCCTTAAGCCCCACTGAGGTCCCTTTGGGTGCTGAGGGTTCTGGGACATACCTGCTTTGGCCCCTTCTATTTTACAGTCTTCTGCTTAAGTCACAGACTACCACTCCCCCGGACCCTCTGAAGGACTGCCTGGAGTGCTGGTTCTCAGAGACAATTCTAATGGAGCACTGCAGAGGACAACGGAGCTGTGCAGGCCTCCTGCACGAGGGGCGGGTATTCTGGTACCTTGAGTGTTTGATCTCTGCATCCAGCTGTCAATAGGACTTTTGTGGGATTCTTCTTGCTTTATGGGGTCACCTCCCAGACTATGGCTCTTGTTCTCTACAACTAGATAAAATGTGAATCAAAACTTGAGCACAAAAGCACAGGCATATCAGAAACTCTTGAATGTAATGAGTTTTTTTTTTGTTTTTGTTTTAAAGATTTTTTAATTTATTTGACAGAGAGAGACACAGCGAGAGAGGGAACACAAGCAGGGGGAGTGGGAGAGGGAGAAGCGGGCTTCCCACTGAGCAGAGAGCCCGATGCGGGGCTCAATCCTAGCACCCTGGGATCATGACCTGAGCCGAAGGCAGATGCTTAACGACTGAGCGACCCAGGTGCCCCTTGAATGTAATGAGGTTTTTTTGTTTTGTTTTTTTAAGTAAACTCTACCCTCCATGTGGGGCTCGAACTCATGATTCTGAGATCAAGTGTTGCATGCTGTATGGACTGGGCCAGCCGGGTGCCCCATAATGAGTTTAAAACAGAGACTGTTCCATCTCTTCAACCTTGGATTAAAACAAGAGCCAGAGCAACTCAAGAATCCTCACATTTTTGCCTTCCTCATGGAAAACAGGAACTCATACAAGGAAAGGAAAGTTGTCTGCCCCACTTTAAAATGGGGCAAAATAACATGAAAACTGTAGTCACTAACGCTTATTACAGTGCTGATTATGTGCCAGACAGACTCTTCTAAGAGTTTTACCCATGTTGGCTCATTTGTTCCTCAGAGCAACCCTAAGAGGAAGTGTTATCATAAGCTCTATTTTACACACAGGAAAACAGAGGCACAGGGGTTAAGGGACTTGCTTGCCCACATCACAAAAGCCAGTAAGTAGTGTGACTGGGACTCCTGCCAGGCAGGTAGGCTGCAATGCCTGCTCCTAACACTATCCTATACTGTTCCTGTAGTTGCCAGATACCAAAAATATGTGTGGTTGAGGTTCTCAGAGGTGGCGTGATGGCCAATGGCTTGCAAGGTGCCAGGTGCTAGGAGAGAGGCGATGTATCAGAATTATAAGATAAACTGACACGGCATATTCTCAGAGTGAAAACCTACCAATGCTAGATTGTGTCCCTCTAGAAAGCAGTAGCATCCCCTCAGTCTAGACCTAGTGGCACAAACTCAAGGCTGAAAGGAACACAAGTTCCTGTATACTGGCTGTGTTTCTGGCATGTCAATGGATGTTAACCGGGCAAGTTTTAAAATATGCCTGCAAATTCTAGACACACTTCTCTTCAAAAGGTGAGGCCTAGTTTCCTTCCCCTTGAACATGGCTTCTAACAAACAGAATGTGGCAGAAGTGATGCTATGGGACTTCTGAGGCTAGCCCATAAAAGGGCTAGCTTCCACCTAGCTGTCTCTGGTTTGTTAGCTCTAGAGGAAGCCATCCACCAGGTTATGAGGTCACCCAAGTAGAGAGGACCACATTTGGCAAAGAACTCCGTTGCCAGTCATGTGAATGAGCCACTCTGAAATAGATCCTCCAGCCCCAGACAAGCCTTCAGTGATTCTAGTCCCCACAGACAAACCATCCCCACTGTGCTCTGTCAGTACTGTTGTCCCACAGAACCAGGAGAAATACTCATTGTTGTTTTAAGCCACAAGTTTGAATAATTGGTTACACAGCAATGGATGAGAGACAAGACCAACTCACCCTCTCTGCCCACCAGGGACTTGTATCCTGGCTCTGTCTGGAAGGGGTGAGGAAGGGACATGTTAGCACTAAAAGACTCCTTTGTAGGGAAAGATGGTTTTCCAGATTGTAGAGAACATGCTTCTGGCTTTATAGCCACAGAAGGGCTTTTCCTAGGACTGGAAAAAGTTAACTATGAAAGCAAAGTAATGATTCTGCTAAAACCATTTAAAATACCTGGTTATAAAACTTCTAACTTATTCAAGTGTTAAACTTTTCGTGTCTACGTGCTCTGACCAAAGGTTTTCTTTATTCTGTATTTGTCATTCTTTGTCAGGATAGCAATGCAAAATTCAAGGCATGATCCAAATTGTTGAAAACCTCTTTCATTTCCGTATTCTTCTAATCACCCAAAAATATTGGCCCTAATTCCATTACTATTTCCAATTCCACCAAAGTATCTTTTTAATGTGGAACAACCTCTTATTCAATAGTCCCCAGGGGCTGAATTCAAAGATTTTCAGTAGAAAGAGGGTCTATTAAAAGGCATGTTGTGTCCTCCAACTTGAAAACTGAGCCAGTTCTTCAGTGCCAGGATCTTTGTGTTAGAGAAGCAGTCTTAACCCTCTGAGCGCATCAGACAATGCCAAGACCCTTCTGTCAGAGACGTGAGGATGGACCCCCTCTGCTTTCCTGTCTTACCTGGACTAGGCAAGGCAAGAAGAGTTCAATTTCACACCCTGCCCATTATGAGCAAAGGTAGCTGAATGTTCAATACCAGAAAAAGACACCCTGACCCATACTGTTCAAATTTCAAGGCTGGTATCAACAGTGTGCCAGAGTTCTCTGGCAGGCAGGGGGCAGGACAAGACCATTAACAAGCTGATCACATCTGCAGCAAAGGTGGGGACTGGTGGACAAAGGTCCCAGGGCAGCAAATGCGAAAAAAATGTTCCAAGTAGTTGAAATATGCTTATACTTGGGGCACAATCAGTTATTTGAAACAAATTACGTAAAAATGAAAACTGGGGGGGAAAAATGAAGACTGAGCCACCCCAAAAGTTCAGAGAGCATCTTTCCAGCCTTTTTCAGTCCTGAGTGTAAAGTCTATCTATAGAGAGGAAGCCCTTTTAGGGTGTGAGGCCTTTATGCTGTGATGCGCCAAATCTTTCACACCTGATCTAAACCGCCTTCGAGGCCTTTAGGAAAGAGGATCTATGTCCAAATGGCAAATTTTAAATGGCCTTTATTCAAGACTAGCCTGACCTTGTTTTTCATATTTTCTATAAACCATGCAAAACAACTCTCCCTTCAGCGCCATCATTACCTGATATGGGGAATGGAGGGAGCAGCCAATTTATTTGTTCGTTCACTACTTTGAAGCTTTGTCCTTAATTCATTCATCTCTGCATCTTTAAATTGGAGTTCAGACTGCAATGACTGAAGCTGGAAGGCAAAGGCAACATACTCATGGTGGCCCCATCATATATGCAAAATTATCTCTGGACTTCAAAACATCAAGTTCGTAAACGAAAACAGTGAGAAATAAATATGAAAGTCCACTGTGACACAAATGTCCTTTCTATAGAGCTTTAGCCTTCTTCCTGAAAGTCAGCATGGTATTCTAGAAAGACATTTTGACCCGATCTATTGCGAGGTAGTTTGTGAGGGTTTAAATACCATTTACTCAGCCTCTCTAAACTTTAGCTTATCTGTAACATAAATACCTGTCTTCATGGTTGGGGGGATTAAATAGGAAGGATGAATGTGAACCGCCCAGCCTGGAGCCTGGCAAGGTGCCTTATCTCACAGTGACACGTCGACCTTTTGATGAACGTAGTGGTGTATGATTCCAGGTCTTCTTGAAAGTCTGGGCAGAGTATTTGGAAATTTTACCAAAACCCCATGCAGCATGGGCAGACCTGCTCTGGCCTACACCCAACAGTAACCGCTGTTACTCCCTGGGCACACTCTGTGCCAAGTATAGTACCAGTCACAGCACCGTCCCAGCAAGTGCAGGGCTGTTTAAGTCTTACAGCAACCCTTCTGGTTATTTCCTGTAACAGATCATAGAAATGAGTCACAGAGCTTAAGTCATTACCCTGAAGTCTCCACTCATGTGAGAAAGAAAGACTGGATTCAAACTCTGGTTTGTCTGATTACAACTCCCTTGCTCTTCCACCATGTATGTGGAGAGACAAGTACTGCTGTTAGTGCTGGGCACAGGTTAGTGCTTCTTTAAAGTTTGCTAATTTGCTGAGTGAATGGCAGAATAAGACCCATGTCCTTGAGATTGAAGCCATGGAAAGTGCTGAAGGAAAATGGCGGTATGTATGGACACCTACTAATTTCTTCCCAGAATAGCATCTCCCTCCCCCGAGAAATCATCATTTCCCTACCTCTGTGTGATTTAAATGGGAGCTATCATCTCTGTGGTTACAGTGTGACTCAGGTCAGACCAATGAGAGCCTTGAGATGGGGGGGAGGCAAGTATTCATTCTGCTCTGGAGCTATGAAACATGAACCCAAGAGCTGCTGGAGAACATATCCTTTACCATAAGGAGGGAGTCTGTCTATAGAGCAGACAGTAAAGACAAGTCCTGGCAAGGCTTGAGTCATTCAAGGCCCCCGCACACCTGTTTTTTCCCAGACTTAGTTATGGAAGTCAATACATTTTCTTTTGGCCTAAGCTAGGTCAACTGAGTTTCTAACCTGGCAAAAAAGCTCTTACTTACGCCTATTTCCGGAAAGTCTAAGCTATTGATTTGTTCCTGCCAAGACCAACTATCATAACTACCACAGCAAAGCAGTTTCTTCTAAGTCCTTTTCCAAACCACATGTAGAACTTAGAAGAAAAGTATATGCAATTAACTGATAGCAGAAAGTATTTAAGACAAACAACTGTTGAAATCTTCCTGGAAGATTTATAGACACTTTGGTCATTGCTTCTAAAAGAACTCAGTGAACAGGCAAAGCTTGTGTCTAGAACAAGAAAAAAATAAAAAAGCTCTGGGTCACCTTTTTGGAAAATTCCTTTTCTTTGTCACCAAGTGCTTGAGTTTTCTCTTGCTCAAGAAGGAAATGTGATCTTCTCTGTTCCTCTAGAATGGATTCTGTCTGATGCAGTGAGTCCCGTAAGATTTTTATTTCTCCATTTTTAATGAGGACTTCTTCTTCCATTGCCTTCATCTGTAAATCCCAAATCAATCTTGTGAAAAGCTTACAAGGGAAAGTTTATTTGTACTTGTTTCAACATATAGCAGAAAAAGCACATGTAAACCATGTTCTACAGACCAATGAGTCCTCAAATATATCCATACCATCTGTCACCATGGTCTGCTAGGCCCATTCGTGGAACAGTTGACATTCAGCAAGATAGCTTAAGGACACACTGTCATTCACACATACAGATTCTGTAGGTTCTAGAAGTATTAAACAATCTGGGTCACACACTTCACAGATCCAAAATTTCACACTATGTTCCTGGTTTTCCTAAGGACCTTCAGATGGTCATATAAAGGATGTCTGCTTTTTTGTAAAACTGCTACTGAAAACAGCAAATATTATGATGTTGTATCCCCTATATAAGACATATACTATAAATTTGTCTCAGTACTATGACATAAAGTTTGTATCTTTTTTTGGATCTGGTGTACACTGTTTCCTTTCTTTCCTAGCTGTTAGGAATCTCAGGATTTGGTTTCTTTCAGTCTGAATTTTCTGGCTTTCTTTCCTTAGCCTTCCTCCATTTCGTGGGGCTGAATCTGAACTCTTGTTTTAAAACTTTTACATATCTTATTGTACAGTGCTTTATAACACATGCATAAGTGAGTTAGCTATAAGAACCACAAGTTAAGTCACTTACCTTTTCTTTAAGTTCTTTGTATTGTGCCTGAAGTACCTCTAATTCAAAATTATCTTTAACTGGAACAAATTCTCTGTTTTTCCCTGCAGGAGTTTTTGACATCCCATCTAATCTGGGGACCTTATGAACATCTGTAAAAAACAATTCCCATATACTTTTCAGGATCCAACATTTTCCCACTTTTGTCAGTCAATGCCGAAAAGAATCTCTTGAAAGCAAATTAGAGAAAGCTCTGATAAGCAATATAGGTATTTTCCAACCCAGGAACATGATTCCAACTCATAAATGATCCTTACAAAATAACAGATCCTACCACTTCCCCACCCCACCCTCCAATTTTAAGAGTCTCATCTGAAGGCTGAAAAGGTGTTGTGGGAACCTCACTGGTCAGAAGTTGGTGATCTATTATTCAACAATTATTTACTGAGCACCCTATACCTACAACAGCACCTACACCTACTGAGCACCTGGCACAATCTAGTCTCTAAAGGTACAGCAGTGAGCATAATGGGTCCAGTCCTTACACTCATGGAGCTTACAGGATATTCAAAAATATTCACACAAATGCAAATTTACAAAAAAAATGCAAATTTACAACTGTGTTAAGAGCTGCACAAGAGAACAAATATAGGAAAACCTATCCTAGGGGGACTTGATCCAACTGGAATGACTGGAAGGCTTCCCAAGGAAGTGATGACTGAGCTGAGAGCTGAAGAACAAGAAGTTAAGCAGAAGAGCGGGAATGGGGGGAATGGATGGGAAGAATCTGTGTACAAGAAACAGCAATGTGCAATTTATGTATTGTAAAGAAGCAGGGAGAATTCAAGAAATGAAGGAAGGTCAGTGTGGCTCAAACTCAGAGAGAGTGGGAACATGGGCCAGGCCACACTGGCCTTGCAGGCCATGTTAAGAACTTTGATCTTTTTTTTTTTTTTTAATTTTATTTACTTATTTGAGAGAGTGAGATAGAGCACAAGTAGGGAAAGGAGCAGCGGGAGAGGGACAAGCAGATTCCAGGCACCCCAGGACTTTGATCTTTATACTAGAGGCAGTGGGAAGTCATTAAAGGGCTTTAGCAGGTATGTTCACTTTTATCTGTGTGAGACACAGCAGATTTGAGTTCTGAAAAGATCACTCTGGCTGTGGTGTAAAGTCTGATTTACAGGGAGTCAAGACTGGAAACGGGGAGAATTTAGCAGATTATTGTCCAGAAGGAAGGAATAATTGTAACATAGATCAGGGAGATGGTAGAGATGATGCAAAAAGGATGGATTCTAGAGATGGATTAAGAAGGTAAAGTTACAGGATTTGGAAAGGAATTAGACGTATGGTCAAGGAAAGGCCACTGTTGCCTTGGGCCACCTGATGGAGAGTGGTACTAGTCACTGTTGTACAGACTTTTTAGTCATTAATGAACGTTTTCTGAATGTCTGCTCTGCCAGGTGCCATGCTGGCAATACTGGAGAATGACTGGGTTTCCAGGAGGTGAATGGGATTTAAGATGCCTGTGAGATATCCAAGTAGAGATGCAAGGTGCCCTCAAAACTTTTCTCTTTCTGTGAGCCCCACAAGACTTCATACATTCTTTAGCTAGAAACGTAAGCTACTGAAGGAAGGAGGTTTTCTTTGTCTTTTGTCAATTGCTAAGTATGTTACAGTTCCTAAGGTTTTGGGCACCTAGTACAACTTACTGGTTGTATAAAGGAATAAATCTCTTTCATCTCTTGCCTCGGACGGGCCCCCTCTTATGTTCTTATGGCCCAAGGGGGCAGTGGTATTCATTAGATCTCATGCCTCCCAAACCTGTCACAAGAATGGGTCCCCATGTGTAGGTATGATGGTTCTGATGGTGGTAGTCGTGTTCCAAGGATCTATGCTTAGAACCAAGAACTTCGTGGCCTAAACTTCATAAACGAAAGTAAAACGTTAACCTTATCTTCCGTATTTCAAATCGGCTTTGACATTCTTGATACATTTCTCCCCCAAATCAAAAAACCTTTTGAGGTACAACCACTGCTTAGATGAAGCCATTCCTATATTTTAAGCAGGGCAGTGTGGGTGCAAGACACCAGGGCAGCGGTCGCTGTGGGGTTCCGAAGCCACAGCCATCTGAGAGGTCTGGCGAGGTCTGCACCACCCTCCGGGGAAAGGCCCCGAGGCGCACTCACTGGACACGTCCCGAGCAGCAGCCGGGCACTGGCTCAGGGCCTGCGACGCGAGGGTGTCGAGTTCCTCCAGATCGTCGGCAGTGAAATCCCCGTGCGCGCCGAACGGGTCTTCGGGGTCCGGGACCGCGGCCGCGGGGAAGCCCCGGGCTCGCTTGCTCGGAGGGTGCCCGATGCTGGGCGGAGGGCCAGGGCTAGGCGCCGGGAGCCCGCTCCGCCTCCTGCTGCCCGGCGCGGGGGCTCCAGCCATGCCTCCGGCGGCCAGTCTCCGAGGGCACCGAGCAAGGCCTGGTCGCCGCGAGGCCGGATCGCTGGACCAACCGCCCGCGCGCCGCCACTCGCCTCAGCCGGTAGGGCCACGCCCCCCGAGCCCACGGGCCAATCGGCTGCCAGCCAGCGGGCGCGGAAGGATGACCTAATCCGAACGCGTCGCCGTGCTCTGCGGAGTGCGGACCTTTCTCGGTGGCGCCCCGCCCCCCAGCCCAGCTCTACTGGGCGCTCCGGTACCCGTGGCAGGGTCTCCGTGGGTCTCCGGCGGGATGTGTGCTGCGCGATCCGCGTTACCAGGGTGCGGGGCCGAGCCTTACCAACCTTACAGCGCGAGTGGCTCTGCGCCCCCTCCTTGCAGCCGCGCTGGAGTCCGCCCTGACATTCACACGCACACCTGTGAATCGTGACAGGCAGCGTTCAGGGGTTTGGTCTCTGCGACTTCGCCGTTTTCCTCCCGCCGGACTCACCTCTCACATACCCAGAGGTCTTCTTGAGGAGTCTGGGAGAGTGGGGTTGGGCGAAGAGTATGAATACAGCTTTTGTGAGGAGGTGTCTTAGAGTTAATGTTTTGAGTGTGTGCATTTGAGATAGGTCTGGAGAAGAAAGGTCTACGGAAGAGGGGTGATTCTGAGAAGGGTGTGCCTGTGTTGGAGAGTGTGGGAACTAACTGTTCAGGCTGTTGGCATTCATTCATTTCTCTGAGCGCCTGAGTGGTTTTGTCCCAAGCACAGGTCATAAATGAATGAGGCCAGGAGGTCAAGAAAGGACCCTTGAAAGTGGCATCTGGGCTGTCCTCCAGGTTGAGTGGGAGTTACTGAGTTAGCAAGGAGGCTAGCATACTCTAGTTTACTCAGACGAGAACACAACACCGACATGGGGGCCACACAAATGCCAGGTAGGAGTTATCTGTGGCAAGGAGAGAAGGTAAGGCTTCAAAGGGGAGCAGTACTTGGGCACCTGACAGGATTTTATTGGGCAGCAGTAGTATGCAGGACAGTTAGCAGGAACAGGGTGTTAGAGAGTAACAGAGTTAAGACTCCACCCTTGTACACTCAGTGCCAAACTTAGCTTGTAAGTGTCCTATGAATGTTTATGGAAACAGTAAATGAAAGAGAGATGGTTGTCAGAGTGTAAAAGGTCTTGAATACCGGAGTTTAGTTTTTGAGACAACTAGTAGGTTCCCTCAGTAGGCCCAAATGTTGAATGCCTAAGTCTTAATTTTTGCAGGTCTCTGGTCTTGTAAAGATAGGATTATACTTCATTTGTCAGAGAGGATTAGGTTCCACCAAATAAAATAGTAGACAATTCTCAGGGCAGTGTGCTGGCACTGGATCTTGGGAGTTGTTCTCAGCCCAACAGGGAATGCCAGAAGTCCAAAGTGTGCTGGCTGTGCAACTTTCCAGGAGAGGACCAAAGAGGCGCCCCCCCCAATTAATGTCAAGTACCTTAGTCATAAAACAGGCTTCAATCTATAAAAACCTTTTCCAGTTTTGACTTAGCAAAATCTGACTAGTTCTAGAGCCCTTCTTGAAAACACATGATCAGAGAAAGCTTAGCATTATTAGCATAATTTCCAGTGATATCAAGGGCCTGGAGGGGAAATTGACTTGTGCCTCTGAATTGTTTCAATATATATGCACTTAGCCTCTGCCTCCTCCAGTTTACTCCTCCTGGAGTCAAAGATGATCAACAAATATAAACAGAAAAAAATCAAAAAGGGTAACAGACAACTGGGACTACCACTTTATATATACAGTGGTAAGGGAAGAGGTCACTACTGTAATGTTTGAATTCTTCTAAAGGGAGGTAGTCTCCAGTATAGAGAAGTGACAGAAGGCAGAGTCGGTAAAAACAGTGAGTCAGCTTGCTTGCAATGTAGACCACTGTGGCTCAAGATGATCAGGGGATGAATGGTATCAGAAGGTAGAGAGTGGCATCAAGATCCCTTAAGGCCTGACAGGTCATTGTGAGGACTCTTACTTTTGCCCTAAGAAGCCACTAAATTCTGAGCCAAGAAGAGACAAAGTATAACTCTGTGGTTTAGCAAGGACACTCTGCATCCCGAGTGAAGGTTAGACTGTAGGGGAGCAAGGGTAGGGGGCAGGAAGACAAATGTGGATGTGATTGCAATAACCTGGGTGAGGGATTTTAGGTCAGAATGGGGGAGGGGTGTGTGGGGGTGATACTGGAGAAGTATGCAGAGGCCAGATTTAATTTTGCTGACGGGTCAAATGTGGGGTTTAAGACATGGGAACCTAGCAAGGACCTTTCTGAAGCCCTAGTATAAATGCAGACCTGGAGGTTTCATTTATTTATTTATTTATTTTTAAGATTTATTTATTTATT